ATGTGTGATATTATTCTCAGAACATATTTGTCCCCAGGGATATGTAGTTGACTAAATCAGGTGGCAGAAGGTTGTTTAATCTGTGAAATAGGCCTTGAAGTAACTGCCTCCAGGAAGAACCCAGTTTAAGACCTTTTCATAGCAGTCACAGAGGCAATCTCCATTATCTGGACTGGCCTTCTAGACACCTGTTTCAAAACAAAAGTTCAGTATCTCCTCATCCCTATCATCCCTCAAGGCCACAAAGACTGCTGGCCCAGACTCCACATCTTGAGTTCTCCCTATGCCAATACAAGTCAAAAGATGACATCTGATCAAGACTTGAAAGAAAAGGACACTCTCGATGGTTTGTGAGGGACCTTATCAAGTGTTGCTCACCAATGTAAGGCAGCTTATACTACGGAAAAAGAATGGGCTTGCTAACTGGTGTAAACTGAGTCTTTGAAGGAAGACAGTGGTCTGTGTCATCCAGTCCTGGATTTACCTAATGACTTTCAAACAACTGATAAGGTTATCACTCTTTCTTTCACCAGTGGATCTCTCTTAAGCCCATTATTATTTACAAGATTTCCTCCTAACTGTCCAATTCAATACTCCCTAATAAGCTTAAGGTCCCAGAAGGTGATTATCCATCCTGATAAGGAAAAGAGTAATGTGGGATAGTCAACTAACAATAATTAGTGGCATAACAGGAATAAACATAGACACATGAGGAACAATGTAATCCCCTGGTCATATTTATAATTCCTTACTCTATGAGGTTCCTTTTGTGTTTAGTTATTACAGGCTAGGTATTATTCTTACTGGTATTCCACTCAGACAATAACATTTTGTTTACAATTAATGGAGCTCACTATCATAAAACCCTGTTAGTTCTTCTAACTCTGAAGACAATAATTTGGAGGTCATTGTAGTAGGGGTAAAATATTTAAGACAAGTCATGGCTGTTGAAACAAATGTTGAAGCAGCTGCCTTTTGGAATAATTAAAATATTCTGTTTGCATTTTAAATAAAAGTAGTTCATACGCATGTGTGGTGTGCTAAGCACCCGGATTGTCCCTTTCCTCTGTGATGGGCCATAGAGCCTACTGTCCTAGCATGCGTGATTATCCCTCTTTCAAGATAAGAGGCTCAGAGTCACAAATACTGAAGGACAGTGCTCACTGCTTCCTATGGTTTATTAATCCTGCCTTAGTCAATTAAGTCACCAATACTTAACTCTAACTTCACCTCTTGCCTCTACTTGTTACCACCTTGCCTACAGAGGCGATAACAATTAGAGTTCATGAGAAATTGGGTACTATGAAAGACAGTCTTTTGAGGAGTCGGGAATTCATCTACTCTCGCCATTGTTAGAACTAATATTTGGTGGTACTGTGGGAGACTTTAGCTTGAGACTTTCCTGGTCAAATGGAGCATAACCTATACTATGGTTATCTCTTTCACCCTGTTAGTTCAAAAATTAAAGTTCTTGTCAAATAAGAAAGTGCCTCCCATAACTAACATATTTGTCAATTACACCAGGGGAATAGTAAAGGTAATTGCAGGACAATTAAGTCCTACTAGCAATATGGCATGGAAAAATCAGATGTCTCCTGATAGGATTCTGGCAGGAAAAGAGGGAGTAGGTATCTTGATTGCAGGTCGGAGTTTGTACCTTCATTTCCCCAAATGCAGCCCAAGATAGGACTATCAACTAAAAATTCAGAGGTAAATGAATCCCTCAGTAGGTGACTAGAAAATGGAAGAAATGCAGTTGAATTCAATTCTCATGTCTTTCATTGTTATAATTGGGATAACATCTTTAATTAGATGCTATGGGACTAATTCATAGAATCATAGAGACTGCCCCATCCAAATTTCTGTATCATACCAATTGTGAAATACAGCTGAGATAGAGAATAAAATCATGCTAAGAGACTTTGAAGAATAGAACTTTTTTTAATGGTGGAGGGCAGTCTTTTCTGTCAAAGTAGGTTGCTTAAAAGTTCTTACAATGGGAAGTGGCACTGTAGCTCAAGTGGTAGAGCGCTCGCCTTGAGCTGAAGAGTTGAGGGACAGTGCCCAGGCCCAGAGTTCAAGCCCTATGACCAAAAAAAAAAAAAAAACAATAAAACCTTCTTTTAAAAAAAGTTCTTACAATACCTGGTGGCTTGTCTCTTGTTGATTATTCTGCTAAGACAACATCAGGAAGTAAAAGTAATAAAGGTTTTGAGTAATTACGACATCCTACCCAGTTCAAAGTTGCTGGTTGTGAGCTGATTTTGAACCTGAGCTTAGCCAATTCAAGCAGAGGGGCAGGGCCTGCTGCTTTATGGATCAAAGGGAGCAGCTGAACTGTTCTGGGTTCTTCCTTGAGGGATTTTCAGCTAATGGCATACCCTTCTGTGCAGAAGGAAAGTTTGCCTTGCTGACTTCCTTTGAATTTGGTGTTCTTATACCCCAGCATCCAGAACTATAACCACAAATCCAATGTTCAATGATATGAATAATTAAAATAACTACAAATCAATCTCCCTAAAGGGCAGAAGTTATTTATAATGACAATTGCAAAATACCTGAGAAAACTTACACGGGACGCATTTGTAAAGTTATCCTATGTTTATGGATTTGCAGGATACATAGTAAAATGGCTATAGTATATACATGCTTAGTGAAATCCCAACAAGCCATGAGTTATTTTCTTCACAAATCAGAATAAAAATAATCACAAAATTTACATGGACCCACAAACAAAAAATAGGCAAAGCAGATGTGCAATTAATAAATGGAAATATTTTATATCTTGATTTCAAAATATACTAGAAATCTGTTATATTCAATATCATGACATTCACATAAATCAAACAGACCTAATGTAATAGAATAGAGAATCTAGATATTTCTAGATTCACACATACCCAACAAACTGATGCTTGCTAATTTTTAAATGATGATTATTGGTCAAGAGATTTTGTCTGTTTACATAAGGCTTTAATGTCTATCATGACTAAAGAGACTAGAATATTAGGAGTGTTATATCCTCAAGTAGACAGAATCTCAATCATTAATTGTTTTTAGTAGACATAAAAGTTGGTCTTTTTAAGGTCCTGTGCTTAGGTTCAAAATATGATAAATCTGGTTTGCTTAACCAGAGTCCTACAGAGTTTTCAGTCATGACCCCATAGAATTTTCAGTTTCAGTCTTCAGGAGCATTGGCAGTATAGACCTAAACATTCTAGAAGATTCCATCACTGGAATTTCTTTTTATTAGTATACCTAATTTGAAACCTTCCATATATTTATATTCAAAATAAGAAAAATATCTACAATGCAAAGACTAATTGTATATCTATGGCAGCTCAAGCTAATAATATCACTTTAGTCTATATGATTAAAAACAACATTACTTCAGGTTTTTCTGTTCTTGGAGAAGCAGGTAAGAACTTATAGCAATTTTCATCCTTGAAATCTGCTCTGAATTGATTGAAATGCACCAAGGAACAGTAATCACAGACGCTTGGTGTCATTCATTATTCTCTCTGCTGTTTTCTATTTTTGTTTGTTGATAAGGCCCTTTTTCTAGCATGTGTTTGGCATTTTTAATTATTTAATTATACATTAATAAATTATTATAATTCTATACATTTATCATATACAATCTGAGCTTGAGATCTGTGTATGTAATAAGAAATCACTAAACCAAGCTAATTGAAATATGAATTACCTCCATATTTTGTCAATTCTGAGATAAGAATATGTGAAACCTACTCTTAATCACATTAAATTATAGAAAGCATTAAGTATATCCAGAAGTAGCACAATAACTACCCCAGAGTACTCTTCCTGCATAACTAAAACATTGTGAAATTAATTGTCATATCTGTTACATTCTTCCCAGGATCCAGAAAAGACCATACTACTCTCTACTTCTATGAGTTCAATGTATTCAATATTATATTTTTATCAAAATATTTCTTAAAAAGGCTGAAATCTTTTAACTTCATAATCTGTTGTTACCTTTATACATATAATTTGGTATTTGTCTATGCAATTTGAAAGTTAGGCATGTATAATATGTTTTTACCAAATCTTACATAGTTTCACCATACTGTAGATAGTTTTAATTCTTATTTCTATTTTTTCTTCTTTGTCAGTCTTGGGCTTGAATTTGGGGCTTGGGCACTGTCTCTGAGCTCTTTTGCTCAAGGCTAGTGCTCTACCACTCTAGCTATAACATCACTTTTGGTTTTCTGGTGGTTAAATGGAGGTGAGAGTCTCACTGACTTTCCTGCCCAGGCTGGCTTCGAACTTCCATCCTCAGATCTTAGTTTCCTGAGTAGCTAGGTTTACAGGCATGAGCCACCAGTACCCAGCTCTATTTTTAATTCTAATTTTTATTCTTAAATCAAAATTTATGACATAAATATCATCAATCTTTTTCTAATTTTTAGAAATTATTTTATACTATCATTAATTTGGTGCTTTCTAAAATGTAAACTATTAAAGCCTTACTGGAGAGTTCTAAAACTAAGAAAAAAAATACTAAAAATCAAACACAAACCTTTCTAAAAGTTCAAAAAGTATAAAAGTAAAAAAAAATTCATTGGCAGCGCAAAGTTGATCGAAATATGATTATAAAATAACATGTTCACTGAGAGTAAGCAATCATAAGAAGCATGTTAATGTAAAGAGGGTATGGAATGTATGTTGCTTCCCAAGTAAAATTTAGCACCATTGAAAAGTTTTAAGGAGCATGAGAGATACCAGATACCAGATAATGAAGTATTTATTGTATTGAAAATTCAGGAGCTTTCTCTTGTAAATGGCTAATACCAAAAAAGTCAGTTAAACTCTACTGCCTCTACTCTAGATCAGTACACAGTAAAATATTGAATACACAGTAATAAAGAATACAGAAATGTCCATTTGCAGGAATACTAAAAAGAAACTATAGGACAAGATTTTTAATAAGGTTTGTGGTCAATGATGAAAATGCTATAGTAAATTATATGACTTACCAGATTCTTCAAAGTCAATGTTGTAGGCTTTCCATGTTTCAGTTATTCGAAGAAGATTCTCTTCCATGGCTTGAATGTCCATGGAGGGGCAGTTGCATTCCGGAAACTTGGGGCCACATTGGCACCAGCAATCGTTGTCCTTACAGATAAACTCTCCCTCTGAATTACAAGCGATGTAGCTCAATGCTGCTTGCACAAAACGTTCCTGAAGGTAGTCTGGAAGGAGCACTTGAAGCCCTTGGAAAATAAGCAAACCAGTTAATTTTACTTTGTTAAAGAAAAAGCAAAGTTTACTTTTGTGACACTCAGAAAAACAAAACAAAACACAAAGACACTATGTTAAAAATGAGTTTTACAACTTGGTTGGGGGGGGAGTGGGGTGGTGGGGAGGGTAGGGATGGTAGGGGAAAAACAAAGGAGGTGGTAAAGGAGGTAACAATGCTCAATAGGAAACATACTCAATACTTTACTCATGCAACTGTAACACCTCTGTACATTATTTTGCAATAAAAAAACATAAAAGGGAGAAAAACACAGTAACTGGTATATTAACTTAGAGTCTGTGCATATTCTACAACTTTCAAAGTTATCTAGTTATCTCAAATTTATGTATTGAACTGTAAATAATACCTGTCTATTCCTTTGAAAATGTACTTGTTTGATTTCCATAAAATGATTTCAAATGGTTTTCAGTTCTTATTTGAAGTAATTTTTCATATTTTCATTACTTTCAGATAATCTACCTTTATCAAAGCAGTTAAAATAATATAAAGGCAGAAAGGAAGTATGAGCTTGTATATGTTTGTAAAATGTATTTCAGGGCAACAAAGATACAAAACTTATGTGGCTCATTTGTTTAACATTGATCTGTGAGACTGCAAGTTTGACAAAGTTCCTTCTGTAAGGTCCGCTCCTGGATGGCTAGCAGACTCCACCCTCCTCGCAGCAAAGTCTCTACCTAGTACCTGCGTTACCTAGGCAACTGGGACACCTGGAAGAGGTCACATCTGCATTCGCTGAGGTCACATCTGAATTTGATGTGGCCACACCTTTCTCTGCCCATACCCTAGATAAGGCCTTAGCCCAGGCCCAGAGGCTCTCTCTTGCTGTTCTTTTCTAGCTCTGATCTCTCTCTGCTCTTTTCTAGCTCTTTCCTCTCTCTTTCCTCTCTTTCCCAGCTCTCTCTCATTCCCAGGCCTTTCCTAGCCAGGTGGAGTGCCAACCTTGCCTGGTCCCAGCAGGTCTACTGAATAAACCTACCCCTTACCTGAATACCATGTGAGTGCTGCTGTTCTTACTCAGCTACCTCTTTTTAAAAACTAACATAAATGGTGCCTTGAAGAGTGCAATGCAGGCTGGGTCCCAGGGACCCCCCTCTAGGTTCCCTCTCAAAGGCTAGCCAAAGTAGGCTTGGTCTATTTGTTCAGGCTTTCTTTGCATTCTTTCAGAAATTCGCCATCTTGAATTCGCCATCTTGGCCACGTGGTAGGTTAAGGGTTTGGCCCTATCTGACCCTTAACCTTCCACCAAGCTTACTACTCCATCCATCTATTCTAAGGTGCCTTGCTAACAAGCTGCTCTTTTCACAGGCTCTGGTAACTGAGGCCCAACCATCTGATGTGCTTTGTTAGCAAAGATGTCTAAACGTTGTCAAAATTTTAGGTTTTGAGTTTTGCCTTTTTTGTTTTGTGTTGTGTATTCTACTACTGACTACATGGTTCTAAAATACTGGGCATATATATGCTAAAATTCTCATCACATCTAATGAGTTTTGTCATTGCAGAATATTCGTTGGTCAGTTCTTGATAAGGAGCAGGTAAGTTCTACTTATTCTACTTGATCTCCTTGTAGCTTTAATTGGAAATAATAAAGAGCTTATGCGGCAAAGATTTCAGTTCAAAGCCAGCCTGGGCTGAAAAATCCCTAACACTCCATCTCCCAACTAACCTGCAAAGAGCCAGGCTGGAAACATGGCTCAAGACTCTTATCTCTAACCAGCCAAACTCTGCAAGTGGTACTATAACTCAAAGTGGTTCAGTGCTAGCCTTGAGCAGAAGTGCTCAGGGACAGTGCCCAGGCCTTGAGTTCAAACCTCCTTGAATACCAACTGGGACAAGCCATCCCAGCAACGAGCACCTAGACTCAGCCAGTCTGGGGAACAAGGGAACCTGGAGAGGAGTAAGAGGAGATGATGTCACATCAGCAACTTTGTGCCTACCCTTTCAAAATTAACCAGAGCCGGGAGGTCAGTGGAAGTAAGAAGCCTGCCCATCCAATGTCTTAACCTGTCTACCTATTAACTGAACAGGAATTTATATTCTTGCCTTTGTCACTTGACTCCTCTACCTAGTAGCCAGATGTCAGAAGTAGCTAGGGATGTTTCTACCAACATTTTCAGCCCCAAGTCCTTCCTCTTGCCACTTATTTGCTCTCTAGTATTTTTTTTCCAGCCCCTCACTGCTCATGAGACTTCTCCAGACTTCATCTAAGGACTCATGCCACCAAGGGACAGCTGCTGCTCACTGCCTTCTCTGGGAGGGGACCAAATTCCAGCCTTTTACCCCTATTGTCGACGCCCCTTGTCAGCAGGAAGTAGCCAGAGAAAATCCTCACCATATTTCATGATTATTAAAAGGCTGGAATGTAAGGTCCGCTCCTGGATGGCTAGCAGACTCCACCCTCTTTGCAGCAAAGTCTCCATCCAGTACCTGCGTTACCTAGGCAACTGGGACACCTGGAAGAGGTCACATCTGCATCAGCTGAGGTCACATCTGAATTTGATGTGGCCACACCTTTCTCCGCCCATACCCTAGAGGCCCGAAGGCTCTCTCTTGCTGTTCTTTTCTAGCTCTGCTCTCTCTCTGCTCTTTTCTAGCTCTTTCCTCTCTCTTTCCTCTCTTTGCCAGCTCTCTCACTGCTCTATTCTAGCTCTCTCTGCTACCTCTCTCTTGCTGCTCTTTTCTAGCTCTCTCTGCTTTCTCTCTGCTCTAGCTCTTTCCTCTTTCTTTCCTCTCTTTCCCAGCCACATGGAGTGCCAACCTTGCCTGGTCCCAGCAGGTCTACTGAATAAACCTACCCCTTACCTGAATACCACGTGAGTACTGCTGTTCTTACTTTGCTACCTCTTTTTAAAAACCTAACACCTTCCTCTTCAGAAAATAATAAAAAATGAAAAATATGCCAGGATCTGATGGCTCATGCCTGCAATCTCTAGCTTTTCCTTAGGGAGAGAAATGAGAAATGGTGGTTCAAAGCCAGTCCATGAGATTCTTTCTCCAAAAAGCTACTCAGAAAAAGCCAAAAGTGACTCTATGGCTCAATTGGTAGAGTGTTAGCCTTGACCAAAAAAGCTCAAGGACAACTCCCAGATCCTGAGTTTATACCTTAAGAGTGGCACACATAGGAAAAAAAAAGCAATAAAACTAATTATATGGGTTTTAGCACTTACTATATTTCAATATATGCAGTTTCATTTGTAGAACTTCTTACCAGGAAGAAAACTTAGTATAAAGCCAAATATTCTGTCCCATCAGATAATAAAACATAAAAATAATGAAAATTTTGGCCAACACCAAGTTATTGAACAACAAATTGCATTTTGGCAAATGTTTTGTGATTTAGTTGTATCAAGAAAGAATCTATTTCTTGCCCATTGACTTGTTATGTAGGAGGCTGTGCATATATTAATATTCAGGAAATATTTGACTTTGTAAGTACATTACTTTTCCAATGTCATCTTTTAGGTAATTCTCCCATACAGAACTGAGAAAAGGTATTAATTTGTATCTTATCTCCAGCAAATAAGATATTTATTGAACATCTGCCATTAGGAGGTAATTGACAGGAAGTTTTCAAATAAGAAAATTGCTATCATGTATTATAGGATTCTACTTGATAAGAATAAGAGCACATATAGGTAACTAAGTTATATTATCTACAGAAAAGATAAAAAATCATTGAATCTAAAAACAGGATTTCAATATTATTTGAAACATGGATAATTTTTTGGGGGGGTCTGGTCATGCGGTCTGAACTCTGGGCCTGGGCGCTGTCCCTCAGCTCTTCATCTCAAGGCTAGTGCTCTACCACTTAAGCCACAGCACCACTTTCTGGCTTTTTTTTCTTTTTGCTTATGTGATGCTAAGGAATCGAACCCAGGGCCTCATGCATGCAAGGCAAGCACTCTACCACTGAGCCACCTTCCCAACCCAAAACATGGATAATTTTTAACATTGAAAAATTACCTGTGCATTTCAAAGCATGGTGCATTTGCAGATTTTTAAACTAGTATTTGTTTGATGCACACTGAGAGGCTAAAACAATAGAATTACTGAGTTATTTAGAAAATGAAAAGTTGCAGTCATATTTTTAGGACTCCTATAACAAGATGAATTGTGTAGAATTAATTTTTTGTGTAACTGACTTTCAAGCATGGAGTACTCAAAAGAGGCACTTTTTAGAAGTAGAATGTATAAAAAAAAAAGATATGAAAAGTTCATGAAGAGGATTCAAAAAATCTAAACTAAGGAAATGATGGTAGAAAGTTAATTTAGGTGATAGGAGAAGTAGAAGAACCTACTAGACAATTCTTCACTTGACACACTACAGATGAAATATGTCAGATACCATAGGATCACCAAAGAGAAAGGAAGCTATGTCTTTAGGTGTCAAGTGCTCTGTATCTCAGAAGTACTGCACACTTTAACCATATACATTCAGAGCAAGAAATAGATTCAAGGGCCTTTTCTAATGGCCTCAGTAACAATGACCAATATGTTCCAATATGTTAAAATATCAAAGGCAGGTATTAGTGTATGCAAAGCAAATATTTGAAACCTATTGATATATTTCAAATGTATATTTTCATAAAAAGAAATTTATAGAACTAATTTAACACTTAGAAATCAGGAAATAACTTTTTAGATTACAACTTTCAGCCTACAAAAATTATAATGCTTTTGTAGAAAAAACAAATAATGAGGAAGTAATTAGGAGAGTAATAAATTATGGCAAGAAATGAGATACATTTCAGACAAAACATATCTGTATATATACACACACATATACAGACATGGAAGAACTATACTAGAAATAAAGATGGCAGGTTATTTATAGACCAATTAAACACTTTTTTTATTCTCTGACAAGCTCACCCACATAAGAAATAACTGGCTTGTATTGGGACAAATTGAACTCCTTTGCAGACAGTGTTGTTAGTGTTACCCAGAGCAGTATTTTAAAAATTTCCCAAAATAGGAGAGTAGAAATAGTGACCACACTGTCATTAGGGAACATGAAATTATAGTGTAAAAGCTACTGTGATAATATGATATGATTATATAAAGGCAACTGTGGAGAAGAGAGGCTGTGAGGAAGGGTAGAGGGAAAGCAGAGTGAATACAAGGATAAGTACTAAATTAGCACACTATATATGCATAGGTAGCCTAATCAGTTCCACTAAAAACCATTACAAATGCATTCAAATGGCTTCTAAAGAAAGGTTAATGGAGATGAGGGGAGACATGATCAAAGAACATTATAGACAGTTATGTTGCTGTCATAATGAAAACTTTTATATATATATAACATCTTCTAATATTTTTTAAAAGGCAGAATGTGAAGTAGCACTAATTCTACATGCTGAGAAGCATGAAGTAAAAGACGGATGTTTAATTTGTTGAAAACAGGACTGGTTTTTTGGTTTTGTTTTTTGTTTATTTTTTAAAGAAAACAGTCAAAGCAAGTAAAATTGCTGGGTGTCATCTAAAGGGAAGAAATGACTATGTGCTGTGGGCTTTGGGAGTGAGTTTATTAATGAATATCTTTGGTTTTATAATTGAACTTAGTAAAAAATAAAAAAAACATATTGAAGTGCCTATGACAGAGCTAATTAACTCCTCAGGTGTGTTAGTCATCCAGCTGAGCTACAAACCCAATAAGCAAACAAAAATAAGAGTGAAGCAACAAAAAACCCTTCACTAATACTGAAACATAAAATAGATGAAGAAATTATTGGGAAAATAGCAAACTCTGAAGGAATAAAAAAATTAATATCTTGGATTTACTTAAAAATTAATATTTGAAATATACACCAATGTATGGACTAATAAAAAAACAATGTAAAGTTTGTTACTATAAACTAGGGTTTATAGTTAGAAATACAATTTAACTCAAATTTCAATCAAAATGAGTAACAGCCAACTTTAGAACAATCTCTGGAAAGCACAAAATAATCAGATAATTTTGCAACGAAAAAGAGATAATTGGGAAATTTTTTTTCCTGGTGTTGGGGCTTGGACTCAGGACCTGGGGTCTGTCTCTGAGCCTCTCTGTGCTCAAAGCTATAGCTCTACCACATGGTCCACAGCGCCACTTCTGCCTTTTTCTGTTTATGCATTACTGAGGAATCAAATCCAAGGGCATGCTAGGCAAGCACTCTACCACTAAGCCACATTTTCAGTCCCAACTGGGAGATTTTAATAGACTAATATCACCTTAGATTGGTAGATTTTATAACTTTGTTTATATTTTTGCCATGATGAGTCTTAGCAAAAATTATTTGAATACTTCTCAATATGATATATGTAAGTGGCTGGGAAAATTAATTCATATATATATGTCCAAAAGATTGAGAAATACCTTCACGAAGCAGAATGTTTGCCAGTAAACCGGACAATTAAACTAACATCTAATCATCTATAGAAAAATGGCTTGTTCTTGTGACAACTTTATTCATATATAAGGTTGGAAACAACTATCTTGGGAACTAATTGGAACTCAGTCATATTGATCCTTTTTCTGTTTCTGAGAATTTCACTAAAATGCTACTAAAAAATGTATGTGATTCCTAATCCTGTTATTTTGTTACTTAGGAGTATCTTATTAGATTCATTACATTCAAAAGGTTTTGAACATTGAATTTTCAATAGTTGCAATATATCCTTACCATAGATTTAGTAATATTGTACTACACATCCCTAATATGTTTTCATGGATAATTTGGATTCATAGAAAGTAATTTTTTGCTTTGTGCAAAGTGTCTACTCTGTAATTCTATTGGCAAAGTCACACGGCAAGTTCAAACAGATCAATCAAGTTTTCTCTACCAGAAGATGTTTCATTTTATTTATTTATTTGTCAGAATTAGTGTGATATTTACAACAGTTTGTCAATTGCTATCTCCACTAAGTCTAGCTACTCACCATGTTGAAGTCTAAGGATACTTGTTTGAAGCCAGCCTAGGCAAGCAAGTCTCTTAGACTCTTATCTCTAATTAACCACCAAAATGCTGAAAATGGAACTGTGGCACAGTTATAGTTAAAACAAACAATTGAAAATATAGACATGATAATTGCCAAAAAGTTAAAACTGATTTGTGAGTTAATTATGTGAAAACAGTAGAAAAAAATAATTGTACATAAAAATTGTTTTTCTTCAATTATTTCTTTAGTTAAATTTCAAAAGGGGAAACTGAATATTGCTCTTAAAATATTAATTTATTCTGGAGCTGTCACTGTTCCATAGGCAATAAAAGCCAAAATTTTACAATCAAATTATTTTGTAATAAACCAATTAAATACCAAGTAAAATAGTCTAACTATAATATTTTGGATCAAAGCTAATATTCTGATGGAATAATAATTCACAATAAAATGATTATTAGATAATGAAAATATTTTTATAACTCATTTTATTTAAATTTGAAACATATCAATAAATCCAAAATAATAAAATAGCATTAAATAGTTAAAATATTTAAAGTTTTACACAATTCACAATATCTAGAAAGTCTCAACCTGTGCCCAAGAGACATAATGTTTCTCCTATCCATTCCTGTGAATTTTTCATTGCTTGTAGTCTTACACTGAGGTCTTTGAAATATTTGAATTGATGCAGGTGCAAGGTGACATATGAGAATCTTGAGCATTTATCCAACAGAACACAAAAGTAAAGTAAAGCCACGAGCACATCCTCGTTCACTGAGAACTATTCACCATTGCCAAGATATGGATCAACCCAGATGCCCCCAATAGAGAATGGATCAAGAACATGTGGTATATATGCATAATTGAATTTTATTCATATGTTGAAAGTTTGATGTGCCATTCACATGGAAATGGAAACATCAGGGAAATATATAGTCAAGTCAGCCAGACCCAGAGAAACAAAGGTGCATTTTTTCCCTCATAGATAGAATGTACCTATAAATCTACACATAAAAAAATGAGTGATATGCAAGTGGTTAAAAATGAATTAACTAACATATATTAGATTTCATGAAAAGCTCCAATAATCGTATCTTTTAGAAAAATTAGGTTAAAGTCCATCAAAACCAACAAAAAGAAATAGATACTCACAAAGGAAAGATGGGACCAAGGACAAAGGAGTAGTCAAATGAAGTGAGGTAGGAGGGAAGAATGTAGTCAATAATTCATTGGAAATATCAAAAAAATTAAAAACATAAAGAAAGGAGTGGGTTGATGGGAATTAGAATGTAATTAAGATGCATTGTATTCAGAAACTGCTTTGTTAAATGTCACCTGTGTACAACTATTTAAAGATAATAAAACCTAAGAAAAATGAACCCCAAGATAGGGACACAAGAGGTTTTTATTTTGTCACTGTTGTTTTTAATGTACTATGTGATTTTTCTGTTTGTTTCTTTTGTATGTTCTTCCCCTATGGTATAAAACCTTTTGTCACTGTATTTGATTTTGGTGCCCTACATCTTGTATATACATTTTTCTACTTTGCGGAGAGGAAGAGAAGTAACAAAATCCCAAAATAAGGATATAGGTTGACCCATTATAGCATAAGATGTACAGACACTATGTTGTTGTTGTTTACAATTTCCCTGATTATGGTAATCTTTTAATTTAGCACAAAATGTATGAATAGAAGAAAATGTAAAATTATTACCATTATGATATCACATTGGGAGCAATATAAATATTAATATTTGTTCATCTGTTTTAAAATTTGTTTCTACTTTCCAGAAAAAATATTCAATACTATTTTCTATTTTACATTAAATTTTAAATTCCAACAGTTTGACAATGGGAAGGAAGGTGGTTACAACTGTTACAAATCTATAAAATAATAATAGAACAAATAAGCCTATGTAGAATTTGATGTTTATTGAGGCAATGATTAACATCTATGAGAAAAAAAAATTGTCATTTTAGTTTTTCAATTGCTATATGTTATTTAATTTAAAAAATAAATTTTAGCACTTAATGTGGCCTAGAACACAATTTGCATTATGAAATTAGCATTTATGTATCTAGAAGCTACTACTATATATGTGTCATTAAATATATATATATCAGAACTAGTTAATATATACCACAGGGTCATAGAGAATTAATAAAATTTTACCTACATACCTTGTAACTGAATCTTGTTCTCTGGACTCTGAACCAGAACCGAACTGACAGAATCAAGGTTGTCATAGTTACTGCAACCAAGAGGCCCCGTCCGCGTTTCTGTTACCTGACAAGTAAAACATCAGCTTTGTTACATAAGTCAGACTTTTGCAATGGTTTTTCTTTAAGGTAGTTGCTGCACACTAATATTCATCTTCTGGTAAACATCATTTAAAGCCTACAATCTATCAAGCACCACGCCACAGAAACAGAGCAGCCACTTCCTTTCGCTTCAAATCTGTTTGGTCTAAAATAGTACTTACATTAGTTCACTGAGTTTACCAAAGTTATGACTGAAACTCCTTAAAACAGAACATTTCAGCTCACATAGGGTTCTTGTGTTTGATGTTTTCTCTAATAAATCGTAGCATTTGTCCTGTTGTATCTAAAAATGGATTTTATTATCTTATTATTTAATATAAAATAATTTCCCCCTTTTATGGTAACATTAAACTTCTATAACCTGTGTGACTTCCCTCTCTTCTATTTCTTCTCAATAAATGGAGTATCTCCTGTGCAGGGAAATAATTTTAATTCTACATCTTTGATTCAATAACATCACCTACCTCTACCCAATTTTCAAGAGAAACTTACTTTTCATCTACAACTTTAATGTTAATCTCATGTTCAGCTCAATTATGATTATTTCTACCTGAAATATATTTTTTTTGGGGGGGGTCCGGTCTTGGGGCCTGAACTCTGGGCCTGGGCGCTGTCCCTCAGCTCTTCAACTCAACACTAGCGCTCTACCACTTGAGCCACAGAACCACTTCCGGCTTTTTTCTTTTTGCTTATGTGGTGCTGAGGAATCGAACCCAGGGCCTCAGGCATGCAAGGCAAGCGCTCTACCACTGAGCCACTTCCCAGCCCCTACCTGAAATATTTTAATAGTTGTATATAATTACAGTTTTTCCATGCACCAATGTTATACTTAACTATGGAATCTCATATTGTGGTGTATTGAAATAGAGAGCATCAGAAAATGATGACACATAAGTAATAAATACAATTAAGTGACTGATTAAACCTGAAAAGTAATCAATTATATACCAAAATTCATCCTGTAAACAAAATCATTTTAGAGAAGATAATAATTATAATGAAATTTCTCTTTAACTACTTTTCTTCTGAATAGTAAGATAGTACTTTGAAAAGCAGAATTTATATTACCATTTATAAAGCAGACATGAGGTTTTATTTTATTCAAAGTAAAAGCTAGAATCTTTAATAAATTTAGAAAAAAACAATGCCATATTTTCCAACTACTTGTTGCCTTTCAAATTTATCTCTTTTTTGTTTGTTTGCTTTTCCCCAAACCCCACTGGCTTCTTGTTATTCCTCCAAAATGTCAGACATCTGTCTTACAGAGTATCTTAGACTTAGATTTAGAAAGTTCTCTGAAATTTTTCTATGTGCTCACATCTCTTATACATTTGGAACTGTGTTGAAATAGATTATAAATGTAAAATAGTTTTGCACAAAATTGTTGCAATCTGCTATGATAAAAGATCAGGAGATGCATGATTTAATTTTAGGTTATTTATTTTAAAAATTATTTATTAATAAAAATCAAATCTAAGAAGTTTTAATCATTTAAAAGTATGTCATATGGTACACCTTATTTTCAAGTTCACAATTATTGTTTTAAATTGTAGATGCACAAGAAATAAATTTAATTTTTATTTTCAACTAACTTAATTCTTTATTTTTATAGATACCTTCATACATTTTCTCTGATAGAAGAAATTCATTTCTCCCTTAAAAATATTATATCTAAATAACAATAAAAAGAGAGTGAATAAACAGTATATTATTTGTTTCTATCTATATTTTATTTGTTTCTCTTGACTGAGTTTAAAGAGATTACAAATAAATCATGATATTTAATGTTAATAAGACAGGTGTTTATTAAATTTATATTTTTAGTTTCTAAAACCCAAACTTTGAAGATTATAAGGGTGTAAAGAAAAGCAATAAAAATCTTTGAAAAATTATTTAGGACAATTAAAAGCTGTTTTGTAAGCACTGTTTAGAATGTTTGTAGGTTGGCTATAAAAAGAATTCCAGAATTAGAGCTCTTAAGATTTTTTCCATGTTTTACTTATCTTTCTTTTCACAAAGTTGTTGTTACAATTGCAACATAAAGCTTCCTATCTTTCCTATGTAAATTATAATAAAGCACAAGTTAATTGGTCTAGATTGATGCAGAATTCCATTGAAAAGCTATGCTATTTGGGTCACTCTCATGAGTGATAAATATTACTATGGAAATTCTGGCTAATCATCTTGAATCTAGGGCAAAGTGAACTAGCATTGTTCTGAGTATTAATTGATACATTCTTTGAAGTATATTCTCATAAACCCAAATATTAATCCACACTAGAGATTTGAAAAATAAAACACGAGTATTGACTAGTTTATACATGTATTAAAGAATATTATATATTCTGATAGCACACAGGTAATATAGATGTAATTACATGTTGTAAAAGTCATAAACAAAAAAAATCACTTGGGAAAATTCTGGTTTTATAAAGACAATATCATTTATCATTTTATTTCAGGTGGTGATAATGTCTAATGATGCTTTTTTAATTTCAAATATGGCTGTTGAGCTTAAATACGTTTTAGTCATTGAATTTATTTCTGTCAGTTGTTCATTCTTATTTAAATTTTATTAAGCATTGAATATAAAACAGATTCAATGTAGCTTAATTTGTATTCCATTGCAGTAATTATTGGGCTTGCTTTTAATTATTAAATGAATTTTACACATTGTAATTGCAATATGCATATAAAATGATATATTCATATTGGAGAAAGTATATTTTAGTGGCAAAATGCTTTTTTAAAACAATTTTTCATGTATTCACCATATCCACAGTATGAAAGTAGTCCAAATGCTGCTCTTCAATAGATGAATAGGTCAATTAATTGTGGCAGATACATACAGTGGAATTTTACTCATCCATCAGGAGTAACAATATTTTATCAGAATGGACCTGATGATAAGAATAAAGTAAAATAAATCTAGTCACGGACTTATATGTTTCCTTCATATATGAAATTTAGATTCAACTTATAAATGTAAATGTAAGTATATAAAGGATCATTAGCACAGGTACAGAAATGTATTACCCGAAATGTGATATAGCCAAAGGAGAATTCTAATAGTTTAATTCCATTCAACAACCAATTTACAGTGTAAACAAATGAATACTACAAAACCAGTACTTGATGTGTGTGGGAAAGAAAGGTTGAAGGGGGCAGAAAAATGGAAGAGAAGAAGAAGGGAGAATCCAGTCATAATATTCAATGTACATAGGTGAAAAATAAACTAGGAAAACTAAGGGGATTGGGGGTGTTGAGAGAAATGGTGGAGAATAATGAAAGGGATGATGCTGATAAACATACATTGTACTTGACATATTGAATTTTCATACCTTTAAAATTACTTAAAAACAATAAAAATATAACATAAAATATTTCAGTAGGCTTCACCAAAAGGTTTTATCATAATCTTTGAAGGAAAAGTATAAATTTATGTATAAAATATTACCACATGAAAAATACAGGAATATAATGAATCAATTTAAGTTTATCTTGTATCTACATATTGCATGAAAAAATAATAAATATTATATGTGCTGTGTAATGCAAAACATACACCCATATATATATATATATATATATATATATATGATTTTAAGTATATTTTACATTTTCCATATTTTCTTGAACCAGTTAACACTACATAGTGGTATTTCAAAAAATTTTATGATATACAATCAATGAACACATTTCTCACATTTGCACATAAAAGCATGATGAGAATCAAATATAAATTTAATTTAAAGGAGCATAGACTTCTGCTGAATTATTCATATTCTTTGAAAATGAAAATCATCATCCTGAAGATTATTTACCCTATTTTTCCTCCCTCAATTGTTTGAGTGGATAAAATACTTTCAGATATTATGTTTATCTATTTACAGAATTTCACTTTTAAAAGTTATGTAGTGACTCCTTCACATAAATATCAATGATCCTTCAAAAAAGATTTTTTTTAAAATAGGTATAATTACAATATCGGGTGCTGCAAAACACTTATTTCCAATTAGCTGCCAAAATGCTGGAAGTGGAGCTGTGTCACCAGTTGCTTTGTGCAAAAAAAAACTACGGGCAGAGATTGGGCCCTAAATTCAAGCCCCACGACTGTCACAAATGCTCGCGCACGCGCGCGCGCACACACACACACACACACACACACACACACACACACTTGAATGTACACTTACAAAAATGATTGCTATAGAAATTAATTATAAATGCATACAAAATAAAGATAAAGCTTGGCATTTTTATGAATAAAGAGTAAGAAACAATATAAAACAATATAGGGCTGGGAAGGTGGTTCAGTGGTAGAGCGCTTGCCTTGCATGCCTGAGGCCCTGGGTTCGATTCCTCAGCACCACATAAGCAAAAAGAAAAAAGCCGGAAGTGGTGCTGTGGCTCAAGTGGTAGAGCGCTAGCCTTGAGCTGAAGAGCTGAGGGACAGCGCCCAGGCCCAGAGTTCAGGCCCCACGACTGGACCAAAAAAAAAAAAAAAAAAAAACAATATAAAGAAGTGACAATGAAGGCCAGGAGAGAAACACAAGCGACAGAGCATGCGCTCTACTTGAGAACATAATCACATATGCTTCCTGGGGGGTGAAAAAAATCACATCAATGCGGTACTCTCCTGTTCTACTGGAAAGCACAGTCCAGTGCATGGCTACAGTGATTGTCCTACTTTTTTTTTTTTTTTTGATTGGTCCTGAACTGGGGCCTGAACTCTGGGCCTAGGCACTGTCCCTCAGCTCTTCAGCTCAAGGCTAGCACTCTCCCACTTGAGCCACAGCAACACTTCCAGCTTTTTTAGTGCTTATGTGGTGCTGAGGAATCGAACCTAGGTCCTCTTGCATGAAGGGCAAGCACTCTACCACTGAGCCATCTTCCCAGTCCCTGTCCTACATTTTTATTTTTTTTTTGCCCTACATTTTTATAGCCAATAAATTACCCTCTATC